CGAAGCGGTGCAGAAGGGAGGCGACGGCCCTCGCCAGGGAGATGGGCCTCACCGAGTTTATCCGCGAGGCTTGACCTGAGGAGCGGCCCGCCCGAGACTCGCCGTCTCTCGACGGTCTGATTGTTTGGCCTCGCGCCGCGGGCGATCCGCGCGCGTCGCTGGGACCCTCTCGGGGCGACCAGCGCGCGTCGCGGGAATTCCGCGCTGCGCTCTGCCCAGAGCCTCGCTCGCCCCCGTCGTCGCTCTGCCCAGCGGCCGCAGTCTTGCCCGCAATCACCCAGCCAGCTAGCACTCTCTCTGCTCCGCGCAGCGGACGACCCGCGCGCGTCGCCGGGGCCCCTTCGGGGCGACCAGCGTGCGTCGCGGGGGCTCAGCGCGGCGCCGCGCCCGCAGCCATGGACATCGGCGTGCGCGGGCAAAGAGGCAGAAAAATAAGGGGGAGGAAGCGGGCGCGATCCTCGTGAGGGGCGCGCCGACATGGGCGTCGACATTGATGCGCGTAGACTGATTCGCGCGCAGACACATTCACAATCAGACTTACTCGCGCTCAGGCTCACCCCGTCTCAGTCTCGCGCACTCAGAGCGATCGTCTTTGTTCGTATTGGGGACCCCGCCGCGCATTTCGGCACGCCCCCTCGCACGGTTCGTGGCCCCATAGGGAGCGCCGCGAGCGAAGATGAGATCCACAACCGCGGTATTCACAACTGCATATGGTTGGGTCCTTCGCCCGGCTAATTTTTACAAAGGGCGTTGGTTCCAGTGCCCCACGGCGCCCAGCGCCCCGCGACGTTGGTTCCAGCGCCTACTTTTTACGAGGGATGGTGGTTCCAGCGCCTCATGCTTTGAAGGCAGATGGGTTCCATTGCTTTTTTTTTTTTTTTTTTTTTTTTTTTGACGAGGGGCGGTAGTTCCAGCGCCCCACGGGGGTCGCTTCCACTGTGACTAACCACGCCCCACATGGTCAGAATTTTCGCCACCAAATTTCTGTAGTGCGACGACTGGACAAGCTCAGCGAAGTTGGCTTGGACTTCCCGGCGCACGACCTTGAGACGTGCTCTGATCGCGCTGCCAGCCAGGCCTCCAACCGCAGATGCAAAGCCTGGGTCGACTGGCCCCGTGGTTCCACAACGCAGGGTGGGCCGCGCAGGGCGTTCCGCTGGATCGAGCAGGATGCTCCGCGGACCTGCGCCGGCGCCGCGGCTGGCCCTGGCGCGGCCGAGTCCCCGGCGGATGAGGCAAGCGGCGCGGCGACGTCCCGGCGCGATATGTGGGGGCAAGGCGATGGGATATAGACAGTCAAGTGGCCCAATGATATCGGCGAGATCGAGGTCTTTTCCGTCGATGATGTCAGACGGGTCGCCCGCGCCATCTGCTCAGTCACAGGGCTCTGCTGCGACGTGGCCCACCCGGGGCACGTGGTCTTGCCGGGCGACGGCGCCTTCCAGGCCCTCCGCGCTTTGCGGGGCGCCATGCTGAAGATAGGGTGCGCGCCCGAAGCGATCTGGGTCATGAGGGGAGGTCTGTTGCGCGAGCTGAATGGCGGCGGGCGCGCCATCGGCATCTTCCCAGGCGCGACGCAACCGTTGACCAGGTGGCTTCGCTCTACGACGGGGCCGAGGTGGGCGGACCTGAACAAGCGTGGCTACATCCTCGGAGCCGAGGGCCAGAGTTTTGAGGCGCGCGTGTGGAGGCAGGCTGCTGCGGCGGAGTGGGCCACGATCAACAAGCGGACGTGCCTGCCCATCCTGTTGGACCTGTCCAAGGCGCACGAGTGCATCAGCTAGCGCGAGGTTTGGAAGCGGGCGACGGGTCTCGGCTTCAACGCGTGCTTGCTGAGGTTTTGATCAGGCTGTACTCGATGCCGCGGCTGCTGTCCTACGAAGGGGTGGCGTTCGAACTGATGGCGCCCATGCGCGGCGTCGTGGCAGGCTGCTCGTTCGCCGGTCTCATGATGCGCAGCTTCCTCGTTCCCATCCTGGACGGGATGTCGATGATGCGACGCGGACGACGGTAGTGAAGCAGATTGGAGCAGCGTACCGCAGTGCCAGGCCAGGAGCGAACTGCAGGGTGCAGGACTGCTGTTGAACGAGGAGAGAGGCTAGCTCGTGGGCATCGACCACGACGCGGCCAAGGAGCTGGGCCGCAAGTTCCCCTCGCCCGTGCAGGCGCGGGATCGCTCGACAGGGGGCCTCGGCTGCGACTACGCCTGCGGCAAGCGCGTCGGCGCGCAGACGCGGCTGGGGCGTCTGGTCGAGGCGCAGAGACGGTGCGCAAAAATCAAGGCGCTGCGCAGGGCGAGGGTCGTGTGCCAGCAGTTGGTTAGCCTGGGGCTCGTTCCCGTGGGCGCTTGGGGTGATGGGGTCACTGGGAGATCCTGGAGTGGCGTGATAGCCCTTCGCAGGGCCGCCAGAGCCTCCCTCGCCCCCCGCGCGGCCAGGCGCTCGCTCACTATCGACTTGGCGCTGGCGCAGGGAGACGCCGCCGCCATTGGTCCCGACTACCCGTGCACGGTGAACCCTATAGCGACGTTCGCCCAGGCCTTTTGGGAATCGTGGTTGTCCAGAGAAGCCTTCGGCACAGTGATTGCCGCCGACGATGCCCTTCGAGGGCAAAAAGTTTCTGGGGCCGCGTGGCGGGCCCAGTGTCGGCCGCGCTTGCGCCTTGTCTCAGGGTCGGTTGGGCCTGCGGGGCGGTCGTTGGCAAGTTGTGCTGGACGAGGGGGGCACCGTGGAGTTTTGCCACGACTGCCCCCGCAATGCGCGTATGATGGCTCAATGGGGGGTCGAGGCATGGCTGCTCGATGAGGCCCGTTGTGAAGGGAGCCAAATGGGCGATCTGTCCCACGCTCCCTACCTTGCCCCCCTCAAGCCTAAGGAGGATTGGTCTGGCTTGCACCGGGCCACGCTCGGGTGTTTGGCCGCTCGCGGCTTCTCAGGAGATGAGGTTGCGCAGTGTAGGCTTGCGCGATCGCCTCGCTTGCTCTATGTGCGGGACGGGGCCTGAGGCGGTGGGTCGCCGGCGTTGAGGGGGCTGCGCGCGCGGGCCCATCGGCGCGACGGCCGTGTCCCGCGTTCGCTCCTGGAGAGGGCGATGCGCCATCCCGACTGGCCGCTGTGGTGCCATGCGCTGGTGGCGGACCTCCGCGCCTGGCTTCTCTGTCTCGCGCTGGATCTGCTCGCGCACTGGCTTGTCAGGCCCGGCCCCGGCGGGTTCGGGGGGCCGTGTTTCGGAGGTGGTTCGCGTCGCGCGCTGATGGCCAGCGACCCTGGGCCGTGCCGCGCAGGATGGGGAGTGGTCCAAGTGAATTCGAGCGGGCTCGACGTGATCGCTTCGCTGCGCGCCCCCGTCCCAGGATTAAACCAGAGCTCCGGGCCGAGCTTCTGAGTGCGGGAAGCATCTTGAGACCTACCCCCTTTGGCTCATTCGCCTTCGACCACAAATTTAAGGACCTCGAGGTCCTACCCCTGTCGGAGGATGAGGATGTTTCCTAGGGTGGCTCGTTCCAGGGACCGCTCCCGTTTTAGTTTTGCATTTTTCTCTGGCGGTGGTTGTCACCCCCCCCTTCTGGCCTCCTTCCCCGCCCCTCCTGGGAGGTGCCCGTTTTTCTGTGATCGCGTTTGCGCGAGGCCGCTGGCTGCTTGCCTTCTGGCAGCCCCACTCTGGCCCCACCAGCGCAAACCTCCTCCCAACAATTACACGTTATGAGCACCACTTTCCTCTCTCGCCTCATCCTGTCCGGAACATGCTCCGCCTTTTTCCGCGTCTTTGGCTCAAAAAGGAAACGCCGGATTCCCAAACGTGATTTTCGTATGTTTGTTTTGCAACCCGATTGTTCCGGAATTTACAGAATGGTGCTCCCGCTGCAGCGCCTCATAGGATCGGCGTATTCCTCCCGTCGTTCAGTATGGCGCTTTCGCCCTGGCGCGGGCCACGTTTCTGGATCCGAGTCCTTTTTCATCGTTGCCGCCCTTCTTATTTCCTTTCCTCCGCCTTCCCCTGGTCCTCCTGTTCCTCCAGGTCCTTCAACTCCAGTTCCCGCTGCTGCTGTTCGTCCTCGTCCTCCCCATTGATTACCGTAAGGGCTTCACCCTCTGCCGCCGGCCCCCTCTCTCGGAGAATGGGCCGTGGAAGAGCGAAGCCATGAGGCTTTGGCTTCACCGTGAAGCAGGGTCGGAACTTCATGCGAAGACGATGGGTAATTGGCAAGACAAATGGAGATTGCGAGTCTATTGTTGTACTCGCTGTTGTACGATTTCCAGAAAAGTGGCAAATCCCCTGTGTTTGACCCCGCCGATCTGTCTGAGGGATGCCACCGAATTCTTAATCATGTGGCAAATCCTTTTTGTTCTTGGACCCTGACCCCGCCGATCTGCGTGAGGAGTGCCACCGAATTTCAGAAATGTGGCAAATCTCCTGTGTTTTTGCACGCTGACCCCGCCGATCTGCGTGAGGGGTGCCACCGAATGTCAGAAATGTGGCAAATCCTTTGTGTTTTTGGACCCTGACCCCGCCGATCTGCGTGAGGGGTGCAAGTAAATTTCAGAAATGTGGCAAATCCCATGTGTTTTTGCACCCTGACCCTGACCCCGCCGATCTGCGTGAGGGGTGCCATCGAATTTTAGAAATGTGGCAAACGCCCTGTGAGGAACAGTAAGCAGCAAGAAGTCAACAAGGAACAGTAAGCAGCAAGAAGCAGAACTGTAACAGTGGAAACTGGAAGCTGCAACTGGTACAGGAAATTGCGAACCTTAGGCCTACAGCCTGGTGGCCCCACAAGGGGGCTGGCGGATCATTAGTATTGTTGTTATTGTTCTTCTTCTCCTCCTTTTCTCCTGCTCTTCCTCCTGCTCCTTCCCCACCTCCTCCTACAGGCGCAGCTCGCCTGTTCCGATTGAATTCCAGGTCGGCTATGACACGCGTCGGCGGATAGAGACAAATCAGCGCACTGGGGAGAGATGGGTGGGTGGGGTAGGGGGGTCGGATGTCGGATGTGGCGCGAGCGCATCCACCTTGTCCTCCTTCCTCCCACTGCTTCTGGAGTTCCGTCTCGTCTCCTCCATGGCAAAGAAGTTTTGCCAGGCTCGTACCAGACTGTGCGCTCTCTGCCAGCACCGCAAGTGTCGCCGCAGCAGTTCCTCGCACCGAAGGGTCCAGGTGTTTTTGGCCAAGAGATGATCCCGTTTCTGTATCCCCTGGCGATAACGGACGTGACTGGGGTGGCGGAGGGGGGGGAGAGGGCTGGTCACGTCACGATCTGCGCTGGCGCCGTCTGGGAATGCTCAGGAACGACTAATCCCCACATGGCGCTGCCGCGAATCGTGACGTGACTGGGGGGAGGGCGGGGAGGGGGGGCGAGGCCAGTCACCGGCGTTATCGCGAATAGAAACGGGCTCCTCTGATCAAGAGATTTGAATGTTCTTGGCCCAGGCGAGTGCGGATTGTGCCGGTTCTGTCGTCTTCGCGAAGGCGAGGAGCGAGCAAAAATGGCGCCCCGCAGTGAGGGCCGGCCCGTGGGCGCTCGACCGCCCTCCGCGTGAGCGAGCCCCCGGCCCGTGGTGGCGCTCGTTCGGGGTTGCTGAAGGTGCCCCTGGTCCAAGGTGCCCCCAGCTTTTCGCTTCATTTTGGAGCCCCTGAGGGCCCTCTGGGCCTCGTGTGAGGTGCTCTGGAGGCCGTGGGGGCCTTCTTGGGAATCCTGGGCGCACCTTGGGCCAGGGGCACTTCTGGCAACACCTGACTCATGGGCGCACTGGCAAAACCAGCTTCCGCGCGCTGTTTGCGCAGGGCCCCCTCGGGGTCGCCCTGATGGAAACGGGTCCTGAGGGAAACGGACCCAAGTGTTTGAGACATTTTCTGTCCAGAGGGCCCGACACTTCACGGCTCGCTCTGGCGCCGTGTGGGAATTCTTGAGGAAGGGTCATGAGGGTGGGGGGGCGAGGCCAGTCACTGGCGCTATCGCGAATGAACAAGAACTGGCTCAAGGGTCCCCTCAGGATTAGCATGAGGGAAACGGGTCTTGAGTGAAGCAGGTCCTGAGGTTTTCCTACCGTTTTCAAAAACCTGGGGCCTTTCGCTGGTCCCCAGGGTCTCGGGACCGTCAAAAAGCGACTTCCCTTGTTGCAGCCATGCCTGGGTGGTAGCGCGAACTGCGGCGTTGCCGAGGATCGGGCGAGCACGATGGCGAAGGCGAGGCCTCAGGGAGGTTTGTGTCAACCTTGTCATCGACGCCTTCCTCCGATGCTCTCGGTTCGGCACCGCGCTAAGAGCTGTCACGTGACAGGTGGGGGATTGGCTTGTATTACCATGAGACCTCCGCGGGGTGGAGACCCCAGGCTCACGAGAACGGACTGGCCGTCCTCCCCGGCGAAGCCCGACGATCGGGGGGCACGGCTTCTGCGGGGAGGGCGTCTCCCGTCCTCATTCCAAGGCTGTCCTGCTGGAAAAGCTTGGCCAGGGGCCCCGCCACTTTTCAAGACCTCGTGGTTGGGCGTCCGGAGGCCCTGGGAGGGCCTCAAGGGCTCTGTGCTTGGGTCACCCGCGAGGGCGCGAAGATAATCGCGCGTCGCGGTCTGAGCCAATGCGGCTGCCCTCCGAGGGGGTGGCGCGGGGGCGCGCGGGCGCGAAGCTAATCGGGCGTCTCGCATCGCGTGTCGCGACGTGCGAAGTTGGGCGGCCTAGCGTCATGGAGGCCGTCGGAGGCCGTGGGCCCCTCGGAGGACTCCGCGGGGGAAGTCCGAGGAGCCTCGGAGGTGCGGGTGGGTGGCGGGGGCTCTGGGGCAGCCCTGGGAGGGCGGCCTACGATGCGGTTCGATGCGGCTCGATTCTTTCTGCCCGTGGCCGCGATTCCGTTTCGATCCCATTCGTTCCGATTCACCGGCGTCGGCCAGGGCCAGCCAGATTGGGGCGCGGCAGTCCTATCCCGATTTCGATTGGATTCGGGACGATTCGCTGGCGATCCGATCCGTCTTCGACGTTTCCGATCCGATCCGATCCGACTTCGCGGTTCGATCCAGCCCAGGCCAGCCTGGGGAGTGCGAGGGGGGAAGGTCGGGCGGTCACAGCTCCCAGCGGGGTCCACCCCATGCAGTCGAAGGACAGGAGGGGAAGCAAAGCCCCCCCCCCGCGCACCCGCCTCCGCGGGAGACCACCTCAGAGCGAAATGGAGCAGATGGCGGCGGACTTGCGCTTGCCGACGAGCACCAGGGGATGGGGAGGGAGGGAGTAGGGGAGGGAGGGGGCCCCATCTGCTCGGACCCCACTCGGGAGGCCTAGACGGGGGGCGGCCCGCCGGCCGCGGCTCCGGCACCATGCGCCGCGCGGCGCTGTCCGCGGCGGCGAGGGGCCGCGCGGCACGCCCGTCGCGCGCCCGCGGGCCTTCGGGGAGGCCCGCGGCCGACGGGGCGCCTCGTCCTCGTCCTGCTCCCTCCGCCGCCTCTTCGTCCCTCCTCCTGCTCGTCCCCGTTTCTCTTCCCGCTCTTCTGTCCTCCTGATTATTGATTCCTGAGGGCAGCAATATTCGCAGAACGTGGCCTTTTCTTCTCCTCCTTCTCCTCCTGCTCCTTTTCCTCCTCCTCCTCCTCCTCATTCTCCTCCTCAATCTAATCGGATGCTTTGACGCCGCTTGGTTTGCATATGTACTAACATCTATTGGTGAGTGAAAAGCATGCGAGTTAGTTCTGTCTTCCCGCAATGTTTTCTCTGGTCAACCCCGTTGGTTGCTTAGGTGGGAGTGGTCCCAGCTCGCGATCCACGGAACGTGCGCAGAGTGCGATGTGTACGCACATGCGCACTTCCTTTCGATCCCGTATTGGTACCACCCTCTAATCTCTGAGTAGCTTGTGCTTATGGCGGTTCTGCATTTCATCTGGCAATTCGCCCCAGACGCTCACAGACAAGAAACCTCGTTCGCGTCACTGTCAGGAGCCAGCTGCGAGGGCACTAGCAGCTGCAGGTTACAACGCGGTGTGGGGCACGCGCCTGCGGGAGCGCCACGACGCTTCCCACGACCCATCGCACCCCACGGGTGCTGGCCGCAGCTTCGCGTCGGGTATGACAGCGAGGTTCCTCCCTGGGTCAGTACCGTGCCTCGCGATGTGTGCGACAGTGTTATCCGTCCTTGCGAGCACGTCGCGCCACTCGAGTGGACCATTGAACGTTAGCACACCAGTCTCACCACCCGTGGCTTCGACCAAAGCTGTCAGCACGACTACGGCTGCTCTGAACTTCGTCATGGCGTTCGTCCGTGCGCAGGCCCGAATCCCAAGTCGCCTCCGCAGCCCTCATCGTGGTGGAGTCTTCTCATGGGGGATATTTATCTTGATGTTCAGGGGTCGCATCCTCATGTTCTTCGTGGCCACCCTTCTCTGGCTCACCTGCATGATGCCTGTTTGAGCCGGCCCACAGGGCGGCTGCAGCCACCTCTGGCCAGCCGCCCTCATGATCACCCGTGGGCGGCTGTGGCGGGATCACCTCTCGCCAGCCGCCCTCATTGCCACCCGAGCTCGAGTCTGCGTATCCATTCCGTCAGTGGGTACAGGACTTGCTCGCTTGGAGCGCGTTCGCCACCGGCATGGACAGCGCCCAATGTGCGCCGCCATCATCCTTAACGTCGGTGGAACATCACGGGGGGAGGCATGGTCAACGGCCAGCACGAAGACGCCGTGACCTCCCTCATCGCGAACCTTGTCACGCAGTTCGGTCCTCTATGCGAGGTGTCGGCCTTCAGGCTAACCGCGCGATGTTCGAATTTTCGAAGAGTCGAAATGAGACCACGGATGCGCTGCCCTCGCGGCTTCTCACTTTGCGATTTCGAGCTGCGCACAAGGGTGGTTCGGGAAGGCTACAGCTCGCTGTTTCGAGCGGTCGGTGTCGCAGCTAGCTAATTCATCGCGCTGCTCCAACCCTGCGGTGACCGATATCCAGCTACGGAGCCTGGCTTCAACAGTCTCATGACTATGCTCAGGCGCGTGGGGCACATCGCGGGGCATGCACCAAACAACATCGCTAGCTCCCTTCGTCCGCCGCCATCGTTCGGAGGCTTCGTGGGCATGACCAACGTCAACAGTCGCGACGCACCTCCCACATATCCCTGGCACGCTCAATGTCTCGACCCCTGGGCAGCCAGCGGCGCAGAGCTTCCCGATGCCGGAGGTGCTACCACTTGCGACACCCGCCCTTCGCAGAGCGCCGTGCCGCCGCAGGCCGCAGAGCCCGCCGCCGCGCGGACTCCCGCGGACGGGGCCGGCTGTGTCAGTGGAACTTCTCAGACATCAGCTCGGGCCCAGTGGGGGTGATCAACTACCGAGCTCCGCAGTTTCGAGCTCTCAGTCCTGCCCAGATACACGCCCAGATGGTCCAGCAGTTCAAGGCAGCGAAGCGTCAATGGCGTAGGCGCATGCGGCGCCCTACGCGCGAGGTGCGCAGATTCATCGACGAGGACAGCGACGCCTTTCCATGCCTGGAACAGGCAAAGGCACAGGTGCCAAGAAATTCACGTTTTCTTGGAGCCTTCAGACACTCAAGTAAATCAAGTGTTTTGTCGACAAGGACAGGGCACATGCAAGCGCTCGCCATGGAAGGGGAGAGGCAGGCGCCGCAATCCCTGGGGATATGACGCAGCCACCATGACGTGCAGTATATGTGGAAGAGAATGCCGCGTTCGTGCTGAGCGCCCCCCAAGGCCCCGCATCATCACCGCGGGGCAGTGGCAGCGGCGGTCGGTTCGGAGGGGCCTGCAGACTCAGGACCCATCGATGGTGCCCTGGATTGAGGCCCTCTGGCCGATATCTCACGGGTTGCCCTCGTGTTCGCAGAGGGCCGTCCTCCGCCGCAGCCGGGGTGCAGCGACGCGCCTGTGCAACCATCTGTCGACGGCCGCTGGCAGCTACCTGGATCAGTCTACGGCTCGTGGTCAGCGGCCTCGCGCGCCGCGGCCCATGGCCACGCGCGCGTCGACGTTCGCGCCGCCCTGCAAGCGACTCAGATTTTCAACGATGCGACGCCAGCTTCAGGACCGCAGAAATTGCTCGCGCCGCCGCCGCCCCCTGGCGCGGCCGCCGCCGCCGTGGAGCCAGTCGGCAGCAACCGCGGGCGGAGTTCGCCCATCAGCTAGCGCGCCGCTGAGGACTGCAGCTTCGCGGGCCCCCCGCGAGATGAACCTCGTCGATCAACTGTGCAGCGCGGGGGCTGCCGCCCTGCAGGTGGGCCAACTCGCGGCCCCCGACGACCGGCGAGTCGCGGTCCTAAAAGTCGGCAGTTTTGGTCTACTCGCACGCCTGCGGCAAGGCCAACTTGCGCAGTCTGCCCTGCCAGAGGCCGCAACGCCGCGCATGTGAGCTCCAAACTGCAGCGCCGACCGTAGCGATCAAGACCAACGCCACGCGCGATTTAGCCCCTGAGATCTCCATCCAGCCGACCTCCGCGTGGCCGGGTTGGGGGCCGAGTGCGACGCTCAGATGGAACGCCGACGTGCCCGCCGACGCGGGCGCGCCTCCTACCGCGGCGCCACCGCCGTCGCCATCGGACCTGCGCGTTGATTCAGGAGGAGTTGATGCCGACGAGATGAGCTGCATTCGTTTGGGCTGGCGCGCCAACTTAGATCTCGCAGACATCCTTCAAC